ATCCTGCACCCAGGAATCATCCCTGGATGCAGGATTAACTATGTGTGGCACAGCGAGTCTAGTATCCAGTAAAACAGACCAGCCTCCGACCAACATACTTCAAGGCTTATCTATGTTCATGGTCAAGCATCTCGTCTTGAATTATTGTAAAAATCCTCATCTTACAACTGCTATATTAAGATAAAGTTGCAAGATATACCATAGCTATGGCCTCCGATAAAGCAAAAGCAACTCCCAATTCCTTCTCTGAAGGCACAAAGGTTCAGAAACTAGACTCGCATACCTACAGAGTCAATCTCAGCGAGGCATTCTGTCTTGGCGCAGGTACGCGGAAGCTATCTAATGCGTCCCATCGGCTCCGTTCTGCTTAGGCAATAACCACACCTAATGCCAAAGGCACATCGCAGCCGTAGGCGTTGAAGAAGCGGCACAACATTCTAACACCGAGGCTACAGTTCCCAATGGCGGCTACGCAGCCTCGTGCATGCTCGCGGCCGCGAGCGCGCACCTGTCCTCGCGCGGGCAGTCCGACACGCTGACGGCGCACTTCGAGTACCCCGGGCGGACCGCAGCCGGCCCCGCCATCGTCGCGGTCGAGGACGTTAAGCTAGCCGGGCAGCTGTCCACGCTGCACCTGACCCTCTGGCAGGGCGGCCTGCTCCCCCACGCGCCGTGGATCGCGCCCGCCGTCTCGCGCCGCGTCGTGCTCGCCTACACGAACCACACCAACCTGGGGTCCTTCGCCGGCATGTCCCTACCGACGGGGTACGAGGTCACGGCCGCGGCGGCGCTCCCCTCCCCCATGCCGGATTTCGAGCGACTCATCGCCACCGGCGCGGACGACGCCTGGGAGGAGGCCAAGGCGCCCGCGGGGCCTTCTTCATCTTCGGACTTCACGCGCTCGCTGCGCAACTGGAACTTCTACGAGCCGCGCGCGGGGCCCCTGACGCCGGGGGCGCTGGACATGTGGGTGCGGTTCGCGAGCGGGGAGCGGCTGACGCAGGCCGCGCTGCCCTACGTGGTCGACTCGTTCCCCTTCAACCTGCACACGTTCCTGGCGGCGCCGGAGGTGCGGCAGCTGCTGCTGGAGCCGCCGCCGGCGCCGCAGCAGGACCCGACCGGGGCCGCGCGCGCGGAGGACCTGCGGAAGAAGGACCGGCAGCGCGCCGGGCTGTGGTTCCCGACGGTGGTGATGAACCTCGAGGCCAAGAAGGCGCTGCCGGACGAGGGCGTCGAGTGGCTGGCCGTGCGCGTCACGTCGAAGCAGATCAGGGAGGGAAAGTTCGATATCGACGTGCTGGTCCGGGATGTGGAGGGCGAGATGGTGGCGCTGAGCCATCATGTCGCGATGATAGTGAGCATGGAAAAGAACACGAGGGAGAAGGGTGCATCGGCCAAAGCGGCGTTGTGAGGATCGATAGTAAGTGAGTCTGGAACGCTCTAGACTGGGGTATCTCTTCTTACCGTGTAGAGTAAGGAGAAAGCATACTCCATGTTGTATACCAACCTTAATTAACTAATTACATGTCATTGTGATAGCCAATCTCTTAGTTGGCATATCATGAATTAAAGGTGAATCTGGAGCATGGAGAAGGTCACGGGGCGGTGATTGTTTTACAGAATAAGCAGTCATGCCTCAAGATACAATGATATCGACTATCGGGTATGAACAATAGCGGCCGTCTTTGCACTTTCATAGCTTTACGAGTTGAGTTGCAGCCTTGCTGATGATTCTAATCAGCACTGGCCAAGTATATACAGTATTTTTTATCGGACTTTCCGAGCAAGCCAAGCCTGAGCCATGTACGCATTGCGTTTCAACTCGCGCTCATCGAATCCATAGGCCGCATACTTGCTTCGCACCTTCGACAAAGCACCTGCTGTACCAGGTAGAGACTGTTCACCGTAAGTCTCGGGAAGATCCTGGAAATCGAACCCCATCGCTTCGGATACCAACACGATCTCTTCCAGGGAGAGCTGCACGAACGGCCCCGTCCCATACAGCAGAGGACCGAAGTTGATCCAGTATCCGCCTGGTCGCAACAGTTGGTGTATAGTTTCGAGGTAGCTCATCAGGTTGCGAGCCGTGTCGAGGAAGAAATGCGTGATGATGACATCGTACGTCCCTGCCGCATCCGAGAATACCTGGGTGAAGTCGCCCTCGACCATCAGGACACTCGACGCATCGAACTGCTCCTCGGGCGTGCGGACCGGGGCCATCATGTTCGCATTCGTGGCGTGGTGTGACAGGCTATCGATGAACGGGTGGAAGACGACGCTCCCGGGCGCTGAACGGGCTTCAAGGTAGCGGTACGCGGCAATCATGTACGTCGACCATTCGTTCTGGACGACCTCGAAACCTGCAACGACGAAATATCAATTAGTACGCGGTTCAACTTCCCGACTGGCAGACAGGAACAAACCGAACTGACCTCCAAGTGAAGCTACCTCGTGTCCCAGAGCGCCTAGTCCAGCCCCGGGAAGTAGGACCCTAGTTGGCCTATCTGCGCTACTCGAGTTGCCAGAGTTTCGGTCGGGGTACAGAGTCTCCAACGTCTCCCGGACGCAGGGAAATGCGGAGTCTCTTTCGTGCGCCCCCTCCTTCGCCCAGTCGCGCACGTAATGCTTCAAAGACTGCTGGACGCTAATACGGTCGGGAGACTGTCCCGCCTTCTCTTGGTCCCTGATGAACTCCTGCAGCTCCTTGCCCTCGATGCCGTAGAAGCCCAGAGCATGCTCGACTATGCCGTCGCAGACGAGCGCATTGCGGTCGATGAGATGCTCGATAGTGTTCAGCTTGTCGCGGTACTGGACGACAGCCTCGAGTGTCTACGGGGCGGGAGAAAATATGAGTCCATTTGCCTCTAGTTATTTATGTAGGTACGCTTGGGACGAAAGTTGATTACTTACCTCCTTCTGCTGCTTAGACGTGCTCTTGTACAGGTCACGCCATCGCTGCACCTCCGACTTGCTGAAGTCCCGGTACTTGGAAAAGCTCCAGAGGGTCTTGAGGAGGCGCCATCGAGGATGATGGACATCGAAGTTGCCGTGGCATTTCGCAAGTCTGCCGAGTAAGCGGTCCTTCTCTTCGAGGTGGCGCAGGGTGATCGGATCTGTCTGTAGTCCACTGAGAATCGGCAGCTCTACACCGTAGCCAACGCCGGGGAGGATGTGTTGACCTGCCAATCACACCTATTGTCAGTTGAGAACACTTTACTCGCATTCGGGGCACGCACCTTGGTTTTGGTCGAGTTGTGGCTGGACTTCACCATCGATCGCAGAGGCTGCTGCCAGAAGCTGTACCCCCAGCCTGATACACAGAGCTAGGAGACAGGCGCGCATGTTGAGAATCATGATGGTCAATGTACTTCTCGAGATAAGCATGTGCAAGTTGTTCGGTGCTCGCACAATCAGTTGGGGGCTATTACTTCGTACAGTCCAATGCATCTAAGCTCGAGTACCTTGATGGACAGGTAAATGGGGTGCCTAAATTATCACTCTCTATAGAAGCACCCCAGGGAAGATGCTGAAGTAGTACATACTACCTACTGTCAGAAGATGAAAGCAGATGATAGTCCAACAATAGGTACACGAAAATCCTGCCTGGTGGCGACCACTACAGGTGTGCGTAGGCCATGCCTACCTACTACGTATGTACAACAGGTGTTTAGTTGCCCAGAGGTTGCCCTAAGTGAAATCAAGGAGCAAGGCACCCATCCATATAAGCACACAAGGAACAATAAGCACATGGAATTCCATCGTGGGATGAGCGCTGGTTAACACTCTGCCTGATGTAACCGACAGTCGAATCCCACAAGGGGAGCAAAATCGAACATGCGGCACAAGCAAATCTGCCGACTTATCGTGGCGGTGTCTTCCCTCCCCTTTCTTCCCAGTCAATTGCCTGCATAGTGATCACAGGGTTGAGCAGGACAGAACTAGAATGCGCAAATCGTATCGCGACTACACAGCAAGGCATCATTGAAGCGCGATGTGAACTCCATCTTACACGGAGGACATAATTCTCGACCGAAACTCTCCGTTCTCACCCTACATGCTGCCCCGGGTCTCGTAACCCAGCCCGGAACACGTGGACAGCATGGAGACACATCTGGTTGGCTGCGCCGGCACCCGACGTTCCGGAGAGGGTGGGCGCGCCATCTCGGAATGGCGCGGGCGCCGCCCTTCCCCTAGCTAGCAGCAACAAGAGGGTGGCGGTGGCAGAATGACGATGCGCTGAGACCCCGACGTTTCCGAGGTGGCCAACAAGCAGACGGCCGTGTACTTCGTAGGCAGCAGCGGTTTCCAAGCCCGACAGCGCTGGTCATCGCCACGGCTGCATGGACGAGTGGCTAGGCTGCTACACCTACCGCACGTGGCATGCGCTGCATCACGGCGGGCGGCTTAACTTCCAGCGGCACGCACGAATTCTTCGCCAAGACGCTGCGCGTGCCCGAGAAGGGCCGGGGCCGCCACGAGCAGCAGCTGAGGCATCTCCCCGGCCTCGTTTGTGGGGGCCCACCGCCGGCTATGCAACGGCGGCGCGTCTTCCCAAACCTGCGACAGGCATCTGCCATGCGCACGGAGGAGCGCGAGAGAGCTTGCCGCGCTTGTTAGAAAGCGTGCTGCAACATCCCTCTATCGGGGGAGTTGGGTCGATGAAATCAGCTCGGGAGCAATGGAATCATGTTGGAACTAATAAGGCCTGTTTTGAGACCGCCGCAACGCAGGCAACACTGGAAGACCGGACTGTGCTGACGCACGGTGCCTCGGGAGATGCATGGAGGACCTAAGGTAGTTCACTGAAGCGGGCCGGTCGCGTCGGCGCGGTGGTACCCAGGCGGGCCAGACCTAGTGACCTCCACCCTTAGGGCTCTACTATGTATACGAACCCGGGCCGAAAGACTTTTCACCCACGACAATGAAACCATTACTACATAATCATCATTAGAACAAGAAAGTGTATCAATCAGCTTGTTCGGATCCTTCGAACATTGTTTGGGCTCGTGGTTTAGTGGTATAATTCTCCCTTAGCATCGTGAGTTCGCCAGTACAGGTTCTACCCAGTGTTTGGGAGCGGTCCGGGGTTCGATTCCCCGCGAGTCCAGCGCAGTAGGCTCAGTCCTAATTTTTTTGGTGTCTTTCTCCATGCAAGTCAATTTGAGTTCACATTCCGTTTTGCCTTTGGCTCTTGTGTTCTGGTCTGGGTCGTTCTAAACCTTGTAGTTACTTTGTAAGTAAACTAGGTTTTCTGTAGGTTTTGTAGGGTTGCAATTGGGGGAGCAAAAGGATGTTGTATTAGGGATGGAGTGTATTGAATCTAATCACTGCTGAATCACTTAGTTATGGCACCGCCTTGCAGCTTTCCAAGTACTGATTAACCAAAGAAAAGAAGGAAGTACGGCTTCCCAGCTGTTCAACCTAGCAGCACTACCTAGCAGGCAGCTTATCGGTATGTTCCCGAGGTCCTTAAGCATTCACTTTTCGTTCAGACCGTTCCTATACTACGTAGCTTATCTATTGGATGATGGGTTCCTAAGCTCCTTAGGATCCACCCGGCCACCCATGGACGTGTGTCTTTCGTTGGCTCCTAGGTAAGTTCCCTAGCCATGAACCTATAACTGGCCTTTTTAAAACCTGGTTATTTTAACAATTGGTGAGATGGCCGAGTTGGTTATGGCGCCAGGTTAAGGTATACCTTAATTCAACAATATCCTGAATATCAACAATATCCTGGTGGAGCAATCCTCGTGGGTTCAAATCCCACTCTCATCACGTTATATTTTTGCCCCTCCTCAGGTTGAGGCTACCAGTAGCTTATTTTTGCCGTTCTTTTCATGTCATGTTGGGTTGGGTTGTCTGTATCACTCGGCGTCATACACTCGAGGTCACCATTTCTGTTACCTAGGTATTCTGTACCATACTGCACAGGCACCTGCCTACATTACGTCTATTCGACTATCCCACAGTTTACCTAGGTAGTGTCTTTTTGTTCATGGCTCTTACCAGGCTGGTTAGTGTGTTACTCGAAGCTACATAGCAGTTCCAATACCGGCTTCCCAACCGTGTCCCACTTATTTGACCCGGAAGAAAATTTTCTTCCACCCCCTTTCCCGGGTCCGGCCGTACTGTGGGGCCACTCTTACAATGAGTCAGTCGCGCGTAGAAAAATTTCAGAAAAATAAAATTTCTTCACGAGCCCGCCATGGAACCATGCAACAACCCGGCCTCCTTTCCTACGACCGGAATATGTAGTCTGGTAAATTGCAATCTTTTCAACAGCAAGCAGCTTCGGCTGCCCGGTTAGCTCAATCGGTAGAGCGCAAGACTCTTAATCTTGAGGTTGCGGGTTCGACCCCCGCATCGGGCTCAATTCCTGATGCATCTCGTTCCATCGAGATCCTTCGAACCTTTCTTTTTTGCCTTTTTCTTAACCTCGGGCTCTCGCTGGCCCCTCACGTCGCTGGTCCCTTATGCGCTATGCGCCTTCATTGATGGTGTTGATGTTGCCACCGTCATGTTTTTTTCTCCCTCTCTTGTCTGCCGTTCTCCTCCAGTGCGTGGTATGGGGGTAGGGGTAACTCGAAAGTATCTTCCCATAACCGTTCTGGCTATCCGCCCCATGTAGTCTGGATCAAGTTCAAGTCAGGAAATATCATAGGCTTCAGTGTAGCAGCTTCGCATCAATCAAAATCAAATGCTTCCTCCATACCTATTTATACATACCCATTCATTGGCTGTGAAATCAACAACCGCGCACCTATGCCTGTCCATTTATATGATGTTATCTCCTCTCATCCTCCTTTCACTCGCCTCTCTCCTCTCTCCTCTCCCTCTCCTTCTATGGCTCCCTCTCTTTTTTCCCTAGGCCCATACCATCACTCCGCCGTGAGCTCCCCGATCCGCCTCTCGAGCTCGGGGACCTGGCGCAGCAGGACGTCGAGGTCCTCCTTCTCGTCCTCGAGGCGGAGGCGGCGCTCGGCATCGAGGCGGGTGAAGACGTAGTGGCCCTGGCCGTCGAACTGGAGGATGCGGCTGTGGTACTGCCACAGGCTGCGGCGGTGGCTGACGGTCATGAGGGTGACGCCGAGCGCCTTGGCGCGCTCGTACATGACCTTCTCCGTCTCGAGCGTGACGCTGCTGGTGCACTCGTCGAGGATGGCGTACCGCGGCCGGTGGTAGAAGAGCCGGGCCATGGCCACGCGCTGCTGCAGGCCGCCCGACAGCACGTCCCGCCACTCCGCCTCGGCGTCCCACCCCTCTGGGTACAGGTCCACCAGATGCTCGAGGGACAGGATCCGCAGGATGTCGAGCAGCTCCGCGTCCGTCGTCCCGCGCGCACGCACCGCCCGCAGGCTGTCCGGGTACGTAATCTGCTGCCGGAGGCTGCCCCGCGACAGGTACGGCCGCTGCGGGATGTAGAAGATCTCGTGGAACGGCGGCTTGTAGACCGTGCCGCCGTACACGGGCCAGAGCCCACCCAGAATCCGGAAGAGGCTCGACTTGCCGCAGCCGTTGGGGCCGACCACGAGTAGGTGATCGCCCTGCTTGAGAGAGAAGGACAATGCCTTGACCAGAACATCGCCGTTGGGGGAGATGATCGGAACGTCTATAAACTCGATGTCCGGGCTCTCGACGACTTTCCCTCTGCCTTTCAGCACTGCCGCGTTGTCCTCTGTGCCGGAACTGGATACCAGCTTCTTCTCGAAATGACCGGCTTGGATGTCCTTCATAACTTCGAGTAGTGAAGCGACCCTCGAGGTGTATCCTGCTAGCTCCATAATTTCGCGGTAGGAAAACATTATGCGGCCGAACGCATCGGACGCACCCAGCAGCATCCGTCGGTTGGTGACGAAAGTTTCTGTGCGGTCGCCCATGTTCACTACAGCTCCTGCCAGTTGTCCCGGCAGTTTAAAGAAAACCGGTACGGCACAAAGCATAAGTCCCAATGCGCCCCAGAAATATTTGATCACGAAGTCTTCCATGACACCATGGTAGAATCGGCGGCGAAGGATGTGGTTCACGTGCTTGATCAGGGTAAAGTAGCCTTTGTCAAGAGCGTCTTTTTCAGCCTCGTGACCATGATATAAAGCAACTTCCTCGCTGTGGTCGATGAGCCGCGAGTGCTGAAATCGAAACTCGCCCTCTAATCGAGCTTCGTCGGCCACGAATTTGCCGAAAGGGGGTGTAAGGGCTCGCATTACATTCGCTGATAACTGAACTAGGAGGGTCATAAGCATTACGCCTTCACCACCCACACTTTTCGATAGCGACCAAGTATATATAGTCTGGAGATAGTTAGCTTCACCTCTCTTATCAGGTGTACTGACAGTCAAGTGGTAGGTTATTGCTCACCATGTCTAGCATTGGTTTTGCCAAGTTACTGTAAAGCTCTGCGAGGCTATTGGAGAACTTAGCAACATCGACTGCGATTAGCTGATCTGGATTTTTGATCCGGTCATCCAGGGATGAAAGCCCGTAGAAAGTAAGGTTCGACAGATATTTATCGTGTATATGATGGGTCAACCGCGAGCGGTATTTCAGCGACAGCTCCGCTTGGTGATATGAAAGCTGATGGGCGTTAGCGATTCCTATCACGTAAAAGTTGTTCAATTCTGATATATGGCAGCTCCTACCATAGAATTTGTGAATGTAGCAGGGACAGCAATTAGCATCCACCACACTATCCTCATAAGGAAGTCTTTCCCATGGCCCTTTACGAGCGCCTTCACAATAGCACCATCCATCTCTGCTACCTTCAAACTGACGAGCGTCCGCACGACCAAGAAAAAGCTGTGGCTAGCCAACAGGCGCGCTTCCGGGCTGCGCCAGCCAGGGATAACGATCTTGAGGAGCTTCAGCAGCGACCTGAAGAACTCCCTATTCAGCTCGACTTTCTTCTTGGCCGTGGCGTCGGTCCCGTCGCTCGAAGTGGTTCCGGACGCCCGCTTGGCCGCCTCCCGGGCGGAAGCAGCCTTCTGTTCGGAGATGGCATTTCGGGTGCGGTTGACAAGGGCGACTAAGAGGGCGAGGTAGACAGCACGGGAAATCCGGGTCCGGTTCGAGACATAGAGCTTCGTGAGATGCGCGACGGCGCTCCTGAGAGATCGATCGGGTAGAACGGGTTTCGATTGCACCGCCATGATTGCAGATGGAGAACTCGGCCCATGAAGTTGGCCGAGGGTGTGCAGGCGGAGTGCGCGTGGGTCACGTTGGCTGCAAACGAGATGGCTGAATACCAGAATACCTGAGAATCATGGGTTTACATGATGTCGAGGCATTCGAGGCATTCAAGGCTTCCTATTGTTGCGATTGGGACTGACGCCTAAGCCTTTGTCGGATGCTGGAGCGAGTTGCGGATGAGAAACACAGGGCAAGCACAGGGGCAGGGAGCAGGCGCGGGCGCATTTCATTCTTTCCCTCGGCGCGTTTAGCCAATGCTCAGCACTTCACCTACCCCGAATGCCAGTGACGCACTCTCCCGGGAGCATGTGATTGTTGTACTACATACCCCGAGTCCTGAATACGGGGAAGTGTGGCTGGTGACCAGCGTCAATTACTCCACATTGTGGCTCAATAGCGTGGGGTAATTGCTTGTGGTTCGTTCTGGTTGGTCCATTCTGGTTGGTTCGTTCTACTGGAAAACGGTAGAAAACGGCTTGTCGCGGGGTTAGTCGATGACTCGGAAATTCTGAATTTGCCTTCCAGCCTTCTCGTCGACTGCGGATGACTGACAACTCTTCCGACCTTCTCTCCACCTCATTTCAACGCATACGCATAGAACACGGTCTCGTTGCAACGCCCTTCAAGCCAACTTACCATGGCCGACGAAGAGATCGCAGTTTACGACGAGGTGGAGATTGAGGATATGGAGTTCGATGAGAACCTTCAGGTCTACCATTACCCATGCCCATGTGGCGATAAGTTCGAGATTGCGCTCGGAGATCTTCAGGATGACTTCAACGATATCGCCGTCTGCCCCAGCTGCAGTCTCATGATTCGAGTTATCTATGATCAAGTATGTTTACTATTCCCGTGTACGGAACCAAGAGAAGATGGAAAGTCCGACTGACTAACACTCGGATGTAGGAGAACTTATGGAAGCCTACCCCTAAGCCCGACGAGGCAGCACCCATCCCAGAACCTTCAGAACAGCAAATCCCCATCGCCGCCTAAATTCACCTGTTGTTCAGACCCGACTATAGCATGATCAATACTTCGACTTGGCCGCGACGACTTTCAAGAAGGCCGGGCAATAGCAAAATCATCAGAGCCCGTTCACATGTTCAAAATCATTCAGGAAGTGGTACAACATGGTATCCGCGTAATAATACGTGTATATTCGTCTTCGCCCCGATCCGAGAAACCTCATAACGTCGTCGCCACCGCATTAGGACGTCGCCGATAACGACATATGACTGAAACGGCAGATTCCGGGTATACCAGCCATGCAAAAATGCTCTCCGAACGCCCGATTCCATGCGTGAATGCGCCACCCAAAAAACAGAGTCGTTCCCCTAAAATTCCCATTCCGCGAACTCCGATGGTATGCCCTAAGCTCCGCAATATATGCACCCTGTCATTTCGAAAACAAAGATTATAGCAGGAAGAGTCCTGCGGCAGAGAACACGATAAGGCCCATCAGAGACGCTTCCATAACGGGCTTCTCTGCGGCAGCGGTCGCCAACCTCTTGGAGGGCCGGATTGGGTTGACGCCGGTAGATTGTGGTGTAATCCAGGTTGCTGAGGTGTACATGTTAGCAGCTGTGCGCCAT